TTAGAGACTAAATTAGAAAACAAAAATAGTTTTCCTTTTCAGACCAAAAAAAATTACAATATTTATTAAACGTGAAATTTGTAGTGATACCTTCCAAGTACACTTATGAAATTTTTTGGTAGAACTTACATTGATATTTTTAACATATATTTTTTCAAATTTTTTTAAATTGACATTTTGTAATTGAAAATAAATATTAATATTTTAACTATTTCATTTGGAGTTATTCTATATTATAAAATTGCATCTCTTATTAATTTTACATTTATTTTTATTAACATTTAAACATACATACATTTATACATAAGAACATTAATATTTATAATCATCATCGTTATTTTTTTTTTAATTTATTTATTAATTTCATCTTTTTTAAAAAGATGTGCACTTAAAGTTTGAGCTGTGGTCTTGGGATTTTTATCAAATATTTTTTAAATGGAAGATAATAAATAACAGCAGTTATACGAGCGTAAGAACTATTCTCGGACCATTTACATATTTATAAAAGTATTTTTTAATGTTATCATCACCAGTACTATATTAGAAATATATTCAATAAAATATCTATAAGTTTTAGTCTATTCATATGTAAAAAATTAAAATAACATACTCAAACTTAAAGTTCACTCATATCATATCAACAGTAAGACTTATAGATGTTTCATTGGATATATTTGTCTAATGGTATTGGTGGCGATAATATTAAAAGATTTGTGTGAATGTGCAAATGGTCGGAGAACAATTGGTTCTTACGCTTATATGACAAGAAATTCAATTTCAATTTTCAATATTTAAAGACATTAATACGGAAAAATTGCTAATAAAAAATTGTAACAACTTTCCTCCCCTATTTGTATATTCAGGCAAAATTTATTTCATTTCTCTTTTTTTTTTTACAAATGTATCAATATTTTTTATACCTTCTATATAAATATATTAGTTAAAATAAACCGATAATAAAAACGTAGATTAATTTTATTCATCTGTCCTGTGTCTATTAAATATAGATACATAATGTAAACAAAGAGTGTTACTAGCAAGGACATAATAACATAGTAAATCATATTCTTGTTCAATATTGGCAAACAATAAGGATGATTTACTGTGTTATACTGTGTCTTTGCTAGAAAATGTTCAAAATATATTCACCTCTCTTCCTCCTCCTCCTCCTCCTCCTCCTCTCTCTCTCTCTCTCTCTCTCTCTCTCTCTCTCTCTCTCTCTCTCTCTCTCAAAGATGCATTAAATTAAATTTTATAATTTGTTTCATGCTCTCAGCATGTTATATTCTCTCTCACTTTATTTATAGATTTTGTAGATTTTATTACTCTTTATTTTTATTTCATAGTTATTATTATTATAGTGAACCGAATTTTTCTGTTCATTCACTCTTTACTAGTCAATTTGTATCCTTAGAGGGTCTGCTCTATAAGGATATCATACACGCTTTTATCTCTCTATCTGTTCATCTTTTAATAAATGGCACATAATTATACTATTAGGTGTTGGAATTAATTCGTAGCGTTTTTTAATGAAAGAATGTTATTTATTTCACATGAGCATTAAAAAATACATTAATGAAAGTACTTCCCATCACTTGTAAAACGCTACGAATTAATTCCAACACCTAATATAATAGATTATAATTAATTTCGTCCAATGGAGACATGTTTAATTGTTTTCAGAGAAAATGCAAAGTGGCAGTAACTTGAATCAATTCAGCGACGATGACTTTTTCAGCAGTGGACCGTGTCCGTCGTGCAGATTGGCTATCAATAAGGAAACCGGTAGACTCAAGTGTGTGACAAGTCGCAGTTTATTTTCTACATATTTCGGTATAAATTTCTCACATTTTTAACAAGTGAGTGAATCTTTTGTAAAACTTAGATGGTGTACTGGCGGAAGCGAAGCGCGACGTTTTCGTGTCAAACTGATGCTCCTTATACCTGCCGTGTTGCTACCAATCACCATAGTGTTTATCGCTCTGTCGCGATTTCAAGCTACAACCAAAACCTTCGACTCACACGCGGTTTCTATTTACGAGCAACAGGAACAGGATATAAAAAAGATCGAAGATGACGTCTTTTGGTGTAAGTTCCACATGACTGCGAATACACACAATAGCTGAAAGAATATAATAAACAATTAACCTTTAGACCGCCGGAAAATCGATATATCGGCTCGTTTTAATTTCATGATATAATTAGTTAGTTAAAATATACGATATTTCATGATGTAGTTAGATAAAAATCAACAAAACTAAAAAATAAAAAAAAATAAAAAAAATTTTTTAAAATTTTGTTATCAAAAAATTTTTTATCAAAAAAATATCAAAAAATTCAAAAAACAAAAAAAAAATAAAAAAGAAAAAGGAGCTAGTCAAACTCTCTACGTCCACGTCGTTAGCTCTGGGTAAAACCGAAGGAGAGTTCTACCTAAGATTTATTTTATTGCTGTTTTACAATAATGGCTTCAGCTTTATTCAAAATTATCATTTTCTGACCTCACCACAGCATTTAGCGATCTCAAAAATCATTATATATGCATTATTTACAAATTTAACAAATTTTAATTTTTTCCATAACCTTTCCCGCCGAAGAGGCGATATATCGGCTCAAGCCGTGATAGAAACATTGTATAGGATATATCCTTTATACACATGTTTTTCTTACTTTTCAATGAGGTTTTGATAACCTTTAATGCCGGTAATCTAAAGGTTAAGAATTTCCATTATTATACACGATAAACGATTTTTAAGTTAACGCTTTTCCTTCAATAATCAAATCTATTCCGATATAATGCTTGTACAGAATAAACAGCGATTATATTGTCAATAGATTGATTTACGATATTGTCAATATTTACGATATTATTATTACGCGAAATTGTCAATACAATTATGAAACTAAAAAACTTAAGTCTCAGTCTCGTCATTATTTGCGATCATATTAAATAGTATACACGAACAAAATACATATTAAAGACTTATCGTATAAAAGTATACATTCTCTCTTAATAAATTAAAATGATATCGATTTTCTTGACTTGATTATAGAGATGAAAAAGTTAAATTACAAGTAGGTACGTTCTTTAAGAACGCCCTTAAAAAATTGATTAATTACTTTATTAGCTACCAGTCGCAACGACGTAGAACATACAACAGAAGAAACCGAAGAAGAGGATCGATTTTTGCTTCCCGATATGAAAACGAGTTACGTGCCTGTAGATACGCATCCTCCATTTCAATCGCAATCGCCCCATCGACGAAAAAGAGACATCGACGGGGTACTTAATCTCCAAACAAATTCAAGGCGATCTCAAATTTGGTTCTCTGATTAAAAAATAATCCTCTTTCCTCCTTTTTTATATACTCCTCTTACCGTTTTTCATATTTTCGTGTTTCGTCTCATTCTCTTTTATCTTCCTGTTCTATTCCCATATCCTTGAATCTGCAATCATTCTATCCACACATGCCACAAGTGGCAAGAAAATATCCCGAAGACAAGACGATCCTTTTCAGGAGAATTACACGAGGGATGGTTTCAAATTGGACAATCGGGCGATGTCTTCATCTCACGCACACGCTCGTTTTGCTAACGGCAAATTGGCAGAATCCCTTTTAAGGGAAGAATCAGATAGGAAAAGTGGTATGGCGGAGAGCTCCTTTTCGGCTTCAGACAACGTGAGGCTGTATAGCCAAATCGACAAAATCAAGGTATACAAGTATGGATCCTACTAATGACTGATCAGGAAATTGTCATTATCGGTAATTCTCGTAGTAGTTGCTAGAGATAAATAATTCATAATATCTCAATAGTTTTATATATATATATATATATATATAACTATTGAAAATATATATATATATATACATATACACACAATTGGGGTGCGTGAAAAAAGTAAAGTCGTGTTAATCGGAATCTAATAGTGCGCAGTTAATAAATGCAATAGTTAGTTGCATTTTATGCCAAGAAGAAATGTGCAAAATCCTGATGCGGTCGCATTATATCTTCTATTCTGCTAAGAGTGTTAAAATTTTAAAATTTAACTTAAAAATTATAAAATGTTAATTTCTGAATCCAATCGAATTCGCTATTAGATTAGCGCCTCACGAGGGTTTGCCAATACAATGTAGACGAGGATCTAAATCAGAATTTCCCATATCCCTTTAGTTATGTTTGTTCTCTTATTCCCCAAAATCTCTTTCAGTATTATCTTACAGCCAATTAGAAAATTCGTTGAAAAATTGCGTATCGAATATCCAAAATGGCGAATTAAAATAGTGTTTGTACATTTGAAATCAATCGTGACGAATAGTAAACACAGAAGGAAAAGAACGTTGCCAATTCAGAAATTAACATTTCATAATTTTTATTGTAAGTTAAAGAAAACTTCAATATTTTTGACAGAACAGAAGATATATAATCCGACTGCATTGGAGTTTTGCACATTTCTTCTTGGCGCATAAAATATTAACTATTACGCATTATTAGATTTCAATTAACATGACTTTACTTTCTTCGGCTCACCCTTACACACACACACACACACACACACACACACACACACACACACACAACCACCTTACATATATATTTTAAGGTAGATGTATTACACAGTGGGCGGACTCGGGCAATCGCCTGAGGCACCAGACATGAGGTCGCCGCTCAATGGAGGAAAAAATTACTGTCCAAAAATTGTGATCTGCAGCAATTTTTGAACTAATTATTTCTCCACTGTGTGCGGTATTTGAGAATGAGTTGATACGCGAAGTGGATATTAGTGAAGTAATAAAGCAACTTTCTAAGGCTTCGTAATTATTATAATTTTTGACTGATTACCCTCCATTTTCTTCGATTTAAGACATTTAGGTGATTTATATCATATTTATTTAGTCCTTTTTAATTTTTGACTGAATTTCTAAACATCGCTTTTGCACTATAATTGAATGTACTGTCTAGCTCTTTGTCTAGCAGGAAACATACATTAAAAGTATTAACTTTTGAACATGCCTGGTTACTTCCCCCTCTCCCCTAAAAATTAGGCGTATGTATAGAGAATATCATTAGGTTTATTTTCTGTGACGGAACTGTGTTTACTTTTGGAATTTAAAGTGAGATAAGTGTATATATGTGTGTGTGTGTGTGTGTGTGTGTGTGTGTGTGTGTGTGTGTGTGGGTGGGTGGGTGTGTGTGTATTTGATTTTTGTCAAAAGCGAGAAAGAGAGTTCTAGTGCAGTCTAGTGCAGGAAAACAAACCAATTATCTTCAAATAGTAAAAACTTCAAACAAATTTTAAGAAGTCATTTTGCGATACAATTACCTTAACAATTATATATAAATTCGCTTCTTCATAACATTTGTGCTTTGTGTATGTATACTCGTATATACACAACGTGCGCGCGCGCGCGTGTGTGTGTGTGTGTGTGTGTGTGTGCGTGCGTGCGTGCGTGTACAGAATGTAAGTTTTGACAAAGCGCTCATGAGCAGGTAATATAGAGCGGATTAAACTGAGTCGAAATGTCTGTTCTACTATCTTGTAATTTTTGCAATAGATAACGAGATATTAATTTCTAAAGATTGCCGAATAAGGGATATTAATAAGGCCGATCAAAATTAATCGGAGTTGATCGGTGACTCTAAGCAGATAAAATCGCGACGCATAAGACAACTTTAAGATATATTTCAGAGTTCTTTAGGAAATATTTTAAAGATGTTTCTTAAAGAACTCTTAAAGATATAGATTGTTTTATGTGTTGCTTTTAAACATTCTATAAGAAATTTAGAGGAAATAGGCACAGTAAAGAAGCTATCAGTGTCAAGTCTGTGTGACTCTTGACAGGACGAAAGTCCATGGAGGAGACTAGGCCTCGGTTCAAATCTTGGAGCGCCCTGATAATTTTTCTCGTGTCATCGCTTATTTCTTACAATTTTGCTTATTGGGTGACTAAAAAAAAATTGCGGAAATTGCAAAATGACTTTTCAATTCAATTTAACCCGGTCTATCTGTTCATGAGTGCTTTGTCAAAACTTACCGGACACCTTGTACCTATACACACACACACACACACATACACACACACGCGCGCGCGCATGTATTACATATGTATATAATATTGTGTATTGAAAAAGAATATTATATCAACTTGTAATTATATTTTATAAACACTCGTTAATCGATGTGATGATTATCAAATAAGCAAAAAAGGAGGAAGTATTATACATATAGTAAAAATTAATGACATGAAAGGATGCCCAGTTTTAGGGGAATTTGAGCCCCGCATGAACAACTTTGAGACATGCCTAAAATTTTAAGGTATCAAAAGAGAATAAAAAATTCCATAAGCCCAACTTTATAGGAGAAATTTCCCTGAGTGCTAGAATTATCCAAAGCTATTATGACTATGTACCACTAGTCTTATCCAATCATCATGCAAACAATTACGGAGAAGATGTCTGAGAGGTACGTTATAGATTTCACAAAAGTGATTTGTTGACAGAGGTTTTCGTGACATTAGGGAATAAAAAGTCAGATTTGTCGTGAGAGTTATCAATGGACATCTTAAAACTTGTTTCGCGTATTTTAATCATTTTATCTAATCGATTCCCCATCTAATGACTGATGAATGATTTTTAAATGCCGCTGCTTTTCATAATATGTTTCATTCGATCATCATAGACGCTGAACATTTGAAAGAAATTGCACAACTTATGTTAGATCGATTGCACAAACCAAATTTTCGATTAATTCGATTATTTCGATTAATTCAAGAACAAAATCTGAACCGCAAAACTGTCGCATTTGTCTCGTTGGATGATGAAAGGGTTTTCAGTACTAACAGAAGATGATTTATATAGTCTGGGATCATAAGATTAAACAGGCCAAGTCATATTATAGAGAGCATATGATTACTATGACAATATTTTATACAGATAAGTTATGATGTTGAGACAACAAATCTTGTTAATTATAGCATAGTCGTACATGATGTTATTCTCATCAAAAAACTCGAATACAATCTAGGCATATGCATCGTGTTTGCTATTATGTGTATGTTGATAGAACGTAATGGTGAAGAAGCTCAAGCCATTCCAGGATATTATTGTTTTTACAAAAATGATTTGTACGATTGGGTGTGTGCATGTAATGACAGTTATATGATATCTGGGATATGCCCAATACTTTGACGAAGGCATTCATATGTCAGCAAAAACGGTTAATGATGTTTTTTTACTTTTAGAGAGTTTCGATGTGGAAGAGAGATATGATCCATATATTGGCCACATTTCAATTAGGCAATTAAAACCTTTGGTTTCATACTTCGAGTGTCTCTCTCTCTCTTCCCTTTTCATCGATTAATATATATCACTTATAACTATTCATATCCAAAAAAGATTTTAGTCAAGATTTGGACATATTCCAAATACTAGATGATTCGAGAAATCGAATAAAACTATATAATACATGATAATAGCGAACTTTGAACAGCTTTCAAGGGACTCATTTTATAAAGTTGTGCATATGGAACTTTTTAATCCTTTTTTTATGTTCTACAATCCTAGTTAGGTCTCAATGCTGTTCAGCCAGGGCCTAAACTGGGCATAGTCCTTTCCTTTTCCTTTCTTTTCTGCCATTTTAATATACGAGGGAGCAATGATCATCATCATCATCATCATCATCATCATCATCATCATACTATCATATTATTATTTCATATTATTATGAGAGAGATATATGCGTATATGTGCGTGCGTTTATAAGTGATTAATTTTATAGAAGGATTCCCTTGATTGTTATTGAATTTTGCACAGGTGATGAATGGTGACACGATCAAAAACAAGTCGCAGGACATTAAAGAAAATAATTTCTTAGGTGATTATTATCTAGAGAAACAGGTTGATGATACTTATGAAAATAGTGGAATTAAGTGTAACTATCATCTATTTCGAATAATACTTAAAAATAAATATATAATATATTGATTCAATATTCCTATATTCTTACCGTCCAACAAATTTCAATTGAATTGTGGATTTTTCAATATATGCAGAAAGAAATTTTCAATGTACACAGAAAAAGAAGTGATGCCGTTTAATAATAGTTTCGCGAACGTAGGTATCGAAAAACGATCGAAGGAGGAATTAGCAAGAATCCAAGAGGAAGACTCATTCTCCATTTTCATCAATAAAACGTGGTTGTCGATGGCCGATGGACACATTGCGATCAAAAATGATGAAATGCCTGATCTTCGTACATTCTGGAAAGGCGAAGGAAATAAAAAAAGTATCAGAGAAGCCCAAGGTATATGTATTAATCTAGCTACGATCTCTTTCTTTTATCCTTTAAAATTTCCCACTGACGCATTAAATAAAATGGAAAGTTGTATATTTGCGGAAATGCTATGTTTAAAATATTTGTTTGTAAAACAACGTAACAAAAATACGAAATGCGAAAAGGGAGTTGCAAAAATGCTAAAAAAAGTGTATCTCAAATGTAGCTCGAATAATGTTGAAATATATGGATAAGAGCGTGGATCCGTGTCAGGATTTCTATCAATATGCTTGTGGTAATTGGGCGAAACGAAATCCTATTCCGAAAGACAAAGCCGGCTACGATACTTTCGAGATGGTCAGAGAGTCATTGGATTCTGTGCTGAGAGAATTGTTAGAAGATCCGATATCACATGACGCCGATGAGATAGACAGGGACGATGCTACGATAAAAGCGAAACATCTGTTTCAAAGCTGTATGAATTATGGTAAGTAGGTAGGCTCACCTGGCGCACTTGAATAGATAGGCGGCAAATTAATATACGCGTATGCGTGAGCTTTTTAATGCGGTAAGAATGTGGCTAGAGATCTTGGAGCAACGTATGGAACGACCACTTATCCGCCTTTTGGATCAACTTGGTGGTTGGCCAATTCTAAAATCAAATTGGGATCCCGACAAATTCGACTGGCTTCGCTTGACCGCACAACTTCGATTATACAATAATGAAGTATTAATCTCAGAATGGGTAGGTCCAGATATTAAAAACAGCGACAAGTACGTGATACAGGTAACAGAGTGTGATTCGCCATATCGTATAATTCTCGTATCTCGTCTTGCCACAGAAGCTAACATTAGAAATATTTCGTTCGCAGTTTGATCAAACATCGCTCGGACTTCCTACAAAGGATTATTTCCTTCAATCATCGAACGCGATTTACCTCAAGGCATACAAGGATTACTTAATGGGAATCGTAATCTTACTTGGTGCATCCTCAGATAATGCGACCATTGATGTCGAAGAGCTAATCGAATTCGAAACGCAACTCGCGTCAGTATGTATCACTTTCTCCTCTATTTATTATCGTTTTCTGTTCAGGATCACTGATTGATCTCGAATCTCGTAGATTACATCGTCACCGGATGAAAGACGAAATTCTTCAGAGCTCTATCAACGAATGAGTGTAGGTAAACTGAGAGCACTTGTGCCGCAAATCGATTGGTGTCTTTATTTGTCGATCGTCTTGGCTCGACCGATACATTTTTTCGAGCCAGTTGTCGTTTTTGCATTGCAATACATCCAAGATTTGGTTGTTTTACTTTCAAAGACACAACCTAGGTATACTTATTACAAATTTTATATGTTGCAACTTTGGCTGTGTTCAGATATGCACTGTCATTGCTGATAGTATTAAAAATTCGTTCAGTTATTAGTTGGCAGTATTAGCTGGCATGCTGCGAGCATCTAGTTCCATCGTCTAGTTCCAATGACGTCATAAACATTAACCATATTTGCACTGCGATCATTGTAGCTGCTTACAAACTGCAGTAGTCGCAGTGTAAATATGGCGTCGCATAGAATACAAAAGAAGTAAAACTGTTTGACGAGGAAACGAATTTAATATATACACTAACTTTAACTGAAAAAGATGCACGTAAAATGAAAAGTAGTAAATAAAATATAAATAAAAATAAATAAAATATATCATAATAAAATAAAAAATAATTTAAAAAATAATAAAAAATATAATAATAATAATATTATAATAAATATAATATAATACAAAAATAAAAAAATATAATAAAATAAAAATATAATATTAAATATAATATTATAATAATAAAAAATGATAAAAAATAATAAATAAAATAAAATATAAATAAATATAAATCTTTGGAAAGAAGTCTTCGTCTGAAGAACTATTACTGTCACTACTAATATCAATTGTAGCCTCTACCATAGCTGTACATATTGACATTTTAATTTTCTTATCCATTATATATCTTCCATATATATCTTATCCATATATATCTTCATTTACAATGATCTCGCTGAACAAATTTATTCACTGATTGTTGAAACTACTACAGAAATATTCGTTATACTGTAACATTTGTGCTGGCAACAAAGATAGTAATTTCAGAACAACTATGGCAGTACATTGTATTGACGTCATTTTTGCAGTACAATTAAAACCGAACACAGCCTTTATTTTTCTTGATCCTTCTTTTGATCTAATGACTTCTGCACACTGGACGCGGAAACGCTTGCCGCGCGGCCAGCGTGCAGGAGCAATAAGACTTTATTTTTTTTTTTTGCATATTTAACACAGATGTGCAAAACATTACGATTAATCTGTTTCTTACTTTCAGAACAGTGGCAAATTATCTTTTATGGAGATTTGTAAGACACAGAGTAAACAATTTGGACGATCGTTTTCAGCAAGTGAAACAAAAGTTTTACTACATTCTGTTCGGTAGAGAACAAGCGCCGTCGAGATGGAAAAATTGCGTAACCCAAGTTAATTCTAATATGGATATGGCCGTTGGTTCGATGTTTGTTAAAAAATATTTTGACAAAAACAGTAAAAACGATGTGAGTATCTTTCTTGACTTGAGAATGCTCGAGTACTGCGATTTAGCAAATAACTAGTAAAAGAAAAAGAGAAACGGGATATCTCTCTTTTCTATTAAATATATGAACCAGGGAATGTTTTCCTTTATCACGACAGACATTATCGATGACTCGAGAGATACAGCGATCCTTTAGAGAGCTGCTAGATAAAACTAGTTGGATCGACGACGAAACAAAGTGCTTGGCGACTGAAAAAGTAAACTCTATGTCGCTGAGAATCGGCTATCCGGACTTTATCCTACAACCACGTCTACTGAACGAGCGTTATAAAGATGTAACGTATCTTCACATATAAAATATCTGTTGAGACACACCATAACGACACGTAACAAAGCATGATTACAAAATGGGAATGAATTGCTAATATAATTAATATTATTTTAACCCAGGTTGTAATTCGACCAGACAAGTACTTCGAGAATACTTTAAATATTTTGCAACATTTAACCAGAGTCGAACAAGCTCACCTTGGCAATACTGTCAATAAAACTTTGTGGAACACGAACACTGCTCCAGCGGTCGTCAACGCTTACTACAGTCGCAATAAAAATCAGATAAGTCAGTTTATTATTTGAGAGGAAGCTATATCCGTATCTTTTTATCTTTTTTTCATGATTTTGCGTTTAAAAATCACTCCCTAAACTATCTAAAACTTTTATTCTGTTTTTTTCTTTTAGTGTTTCCAGCGGGCATATTACAGCCACCTTTTTATCATAGATTTTTTCCACGAAGTTTAAATTACGGTGGGATTGGTGTCGTAATTGGACACGAGATTACTCATGGATTTGACGATAAAGGCAGATTGTTTGATAAAGATGGGAATCTTTATAGATGGTGGAAAGACGAGGCGGTTGATGGTTTTCATCGGCGAGCACAATGTCTGATTGGTATGAAAAGAGAAAATTTTCTCTTTGATCAATCGAAACGCGTGAAACGCGCAATAGACATAGAAAGATCTATTATAATCGGATGCTTTTGCCTTTGTAATCGAGATCTTCCTCTTTGTAGATCAATATGCAAATTATACCGTGACAGAAGTTGGAATGCAGATAGATGGTGTTAATACGCAAGGTGAAAATATTGCCGATAACGGCGGTATTAAACAGGCATTTAGAGTAATTCCACAAATTTTCCTTCTCTAATTTGAATAAAAAAAAATCTAGTTTCACCGATTGGTGGAACTATGATAGAAAGTTTGTTTTCTTTGCAGGCGTATGAGAGATGGCTAAGTTCAAACGAAGAGGAAGACGAAACTCTACCCGGAATGACTATGACGGGTAAACAATTATTCTTTCTGAACTTTGCTCAAGTGTGGTGTGGTTCGATGCGTCCCGAAGCGACGAGAAATAAATTGAAAACATCTTTACATTCACCCGGTAGATTTCGAGTGATCGGCACGCTTTCCAATTCGAAAGACTTTGCTCAGGTGTTCAATTGCCCTCTTGGTTCCCCTATGAATCCTGTAAGCAAATGTTCGGTATGGTAAAAAAAATGTGTGTGTGTGTGTGTTCGCGCGCGCGCGCACGTGCGTGTGTGTACCAGAGGTGTGCGAATTAAGCATTTGTAAAGTTGAAGTCGAATTCGATGTAAAGATTTCAAATTGGAATTTGAAATCTTTACATCGAATCGAATTGAATCGAATATTTTTTATTCGAAAACGAATCGAATTCGAATAAATTTTTCACACACTCTGACGTCAGCTAAGAAAAAAAAAACTTTAAAAAGTTGAAAGAAACTTATTTTGAATGTACAAGTATATCGAAAAGTTAATAATGTGACATAAATATACTAAAAATAATACTTTTTGGTAATAATACCTGTATGTTGAAAATGATTCATTTTCTTATTTATTTAAAAAGATTTGAATTGAAAATAAATTCGTACTCTCTGGATCGTATTCAATAGAGTCCAATAGATCGCAGCCAATAGAGTCCAATGATAACTGACGACACGCGATGATTAAGCGTATGCGCATGCATGAAAATTGGTATGCGCTGAAAATTGTTACAAGATTAGTCGCAGAATGTAGATTTGTTGCACACAGGACGCGTCAATCGTCAATGCGTTACGCGTGGTAAGAGACGACGCGTTAGCCAATTAGACTTTTCTGAATAAGAGTCTAATTTGGCTATCGCGTCGTTTCTTTCCATGCGTAACACGTCGACGCGTCTGTGTGCGACAGACTATGTATAGAAAAGAATCGTGCTTAAATGAAGGAAATAAAATAGACGAGTGTTCCGAACCGATGATTCGAACTTTCGAACTTTTCGGTTTTGAATCTCTCTCTCAGATTCGAAAACCAATCGAATCCATTGTGATTCGATTCGAATTCAAATTAATTCGCACACCTCTAATATATGTACATACATGTATAATACATAGTTTCTATCGATACGATTTATCCCTATCACAGTATTCTTTCATTTGTTATGAATGACACAATACATTCTCAAGCGTACTCTTTAAGATTTCCAGCATTTTCTAGAAATATATAAAATATGGAGAAATATAAATTTTTTAATTTATTCATTGGATACGCATTATATGTATCATTTGGAAATATCTAATAGAGGAAGAGAGAGAGGGAACGGAGAAGAGAGAGCGGTATTATAGGACAAAATGTGAGCTTTTGCAGTTTTTTTTTACGGAAAAACTGGAAGTCGGATAAAGAAAGTGACAGTAAATACGAGCAGCCTTGATAGATGTTTTTATCTATAAATCTTGATACTTTTCTCTATCTTTAAGCTGATTTTACAAATTTATCGAATGATACTGTACTTTGTTTAAAGTTAATAAACTCGAGCTTCCTGTATCTGTAATATATTTATATATGTATATAAACTTGCGGTTAGGGAGAAATGAGTAATTGGTTAACACTTGAACATTTGCAATTTTTGAAATTCTTTGTTTAGATTATATACATATATGTATATTAATGCTAGTGATGAGCTCTATACATATTGTACTGGAATCAGCCTTCTCTATGCCAATATGTGGCGGTGGGAAACCGTGCGACTGTGTGCGAGAATGACAGCTATATACGTATTGGGGACGTTTGCCTCGCTTTAATATGTTATATTGAAGTGAGGCAGACATCCTCAATATTCATATAACTGTCACTCTCACAATTGGTTTCCATTACTTCAAGCCTCACTGATTGATATATATATATATCAATCAATGTATTAAGAAATAAATTTCTTGCGTGCGATACGTACATTATTTTACATAAATAAGCAGTGTTTTTCTTTATAAAAACAATTCTGTTTTAACGATTTATTTATACACTATTATGATGATATATTCATATTGATTTGTAAAAATTGAAATTTAAGGAAAAAGTACATCAACTCTAAAAACTGATCTCAGTTATAATACAATATTGTAAGATGAGATACTGTACAATAAATAATTGTGTTTTTCTCTTAGTTAATATGTATATACATATACATATGGACCGTATTTTGTTATTTTTCCTCATTCCTTTTTTCTTCTTCCTTTCTTCCTCACTCCTCTTTAATTTTTTCAATTAGAAAATAGAAATTGTAAAATTTTATCGCGCGTTATCATTCGAGTCGGAGAATTACTTATGTAGGTGTTGCAAAATTGTCAAACAAATTTTAATTACCACGATGACCATTATGGTCATAATTTTATTATGTATAGCCGTTATATATATATATATATATATATCATAATTACGAGTCTTAATATTTTTACTTTCTATATTTTATCAAAATTGGCCTATTAAATATATAAATATACGTTTCACGTGTAATACTTCCATTCAACTAACGAAATGGAAATATACCTTGACCACTCATTCGATTGATCACGTTATTATCCGTACGTATACTTTAACAAAGTTTTTTCACTTGTGTAGAAACTGGTATTCCAAAATGTCTTCTTCATCTGCAAAGAAAACAAAATCATTTTATATTGCTATACAACACACAACATATGATTGTTTTGTCTATAAAATTTCGATATGCACAACACAATATATTCGTGTATGTGTGTGTGTGTGTGTGTGTGTGTGCGCGTGTGCATGTGTGTACACAGTTGCAAACTAGATATACTTTGTATACAAGTGGGTAAGGCATTCCAAACTTACACTATGTTTAATGTTTATAATGTACAATGAAAGAGAGAAAGTTATCTGCCATTTATAACCAGCTTATAATCCAATTAATATTTCTAATTAAATACATATATAAGCGTAAGGAAGATGATGTAACGTATTGCTTTGACTAGCTATGTACAACGATCGATTTTATTGATATAAATTGACACCGCGAAAGAGTATAAAAATAAAAACAGTTTAAAAAAGGTATTTGAGAAAAATATAGTGAATATAGGGGCAAATATGTGTCGTGATAAAATAAAGATAGACTCACAGATATCGTCTCTGCTATTGTTGTCCAAATCACTAGTTTGTGTATGACTCTCCTCGTGCATACGTCGCCCTGCGTGTTTCGTCAACGCAGCACAAGGCACAAAAATGACTCGGTTATATATCTGAGGCGTGGTGCAATGTATGTACAATACTAAAGATATAATATATGTATATCGAAAATACATTTTCTATTCTTCAGGATAGAAAGATAGTTTCCTATTCTTCAGAATAGAAAGATGTTACAAACAAATGAAGTAATATAAACTTTTCACAAAAAGAATAAAAGATTTTAACATACGAGATAAAATTTTATAAATCTACACAAAATCTTATTCCGTTTATGCGACTATGCTGCAATATAATTGCTTAATATAATTGACAATTATAATATATTCGCGAATATAACAAACGATTTTTAAAAACGTGATTCTAAAATTTAATTATAAAAAAATGATTTGTAAAATGTATTGCACTGTCTGTCTGCAACATAAGCTAGATATGAAATATGGAATTTATATTGTATAATATGTAACATGTATATATCATACAGTATATATATATATGTGTGTGTGTGTGTGTGTGTGTGTATATATATATTAAGTCGTCTGCATTTATGCAAATATTTACGTACATAATTCAATGAAAGTTGAACGTTTCATATGCAATTTTTCGCAAAACTGACAGAAATATAATTGATAGAAATGCATTCATTCATAAAAATTGGGGATTTTAGAAAGTAATTATATTCTCTGCTTGTAAAATTACTTTTAGTCGATACAATTGTTTACGTAAATAAAATGTCAACAATATATTGTATATCAATTAGAAAAATTGCATGACGTTTACATTGCAATGTTTATATAGCTTCACGATGTATAACAGAATGATACAATAAAATTGGAAAGACTTGATATAATGAAGAATAAAAACTATCTTTCCGTTAAAATATCATTAATTTTTATATCGTAAAAATATTTCATAGACTTTAAATAAATGTATTTGAATATATGTGCGAATTATTAATCAATAAATATACGTGAAGCTATATTAATTAGTTATTACCAACTCGTCGTATGTACAGTGGAACATTGAACGCACAGCGACTATCGCATCTGTTTTGTTGCTCTCCACACGAGTATAATAGTGTGTACGCAACGTAAATAAAATTAAGGATATCTCAACGATATTAATGCCGTCAGTAGAAAGAAAAAAAAACATTTCTTTAACGTATACTGTACAAAGTTATCAAGTCCTATAGGTTCAAAGTTGGCGTACGACGATAGTAATGTAAATCATTAAGTGTAACTCTTCTTACTGTAGCATCGAATCGAGCATGGAAAAGGATTTTCTTCGTAACAAAATGCGACAAATAAAGTTGACATAATGTAACGGCAAGGCATAAATAGAAAGAATATACTTTGATATTATACGTAAAACACACTTAAAAACACTTAAATGAAACATATATGTAATCTGTTCACTATGTGAATTATGCATGTAAGAGATAATAATGATAAACATAATTTAAGAAGACTATAGTAACCTATGCACAAGCATCTATATAAATTATAAATCTCGTAGTTTTTTTGTAACACTGATAAGATGGCACATTTATGATGACATAATTTCTATATATGTATGTATAGTTCATCGAGTCAGTACAATGTCGCATAATGTAAAGACTAATTTTTGAAAATATGTAGATATAATAACTTTACACAATATAAAAGTCTGTCACTCGTGTACTTAAATCAGTTTCTAACGAGTCGACAATTTTTACACACGAACACTTTTTCGCGAAAAACATTTCTACAGAGATGTCGAGAAATGTTCAAAATATTTAATTGAAAAGATTGAATTACTAGATATTTAGAAACATCTTCTCAATTTTAAAGAAATAGCTGTCCCATTGTCGTAGACAATCCTAAAACGCAATCAATTGAATGATATTAATAGATATACAGAATGATTCAGACCATCCTTAAAAGCTGGCATGTACATATTCCTCATGAAAAGATGAGTCGAAAATGTCAATAGTAAAATGTTGTAATATCAACAGTTTTTAAACGATGTATGGGCTTTAAAAATATCCAATTAGTGCTTGAAATTCGCATAATTAAGTGATCGGCCGCACGAATGCTTTGATTGACGGATACTGCGTTAAACGGCATGGTATTACCGAACGAATATTGTAAAGGTTCATGAAATTTTTATTAACATTTTCTACGGTATTCTCAAATTGAAATTCGATTTAATCGAGAGAGAGAGAGAGAGAGAGAGAGAGAGAGAGAGAGAGAGAGAGAGAGAGGGGGGGAGAGAGAAATCATTGTCAATTGCAAATTCAATAAAACATCATTTATATCAATAAAAAAGATTTTTGAAATATGTTTTAAGTAACATAAACAAATAAATTTATAAATGAAATTAATATTAATTTAATTTATCCAAACAAATAATATTAAAAACATCAATCGACAGATATTTCCAAAATTTTATTCTGTCACAAACAATATTAGAAAAAATTCACATTTAAAATGCGTATTTGGTATAAACAAATATTTCATATTTAGGAAATGAAATGAACGAAATTTTAAAATTTATTTATTACTTAAAATGTCCTCAAAATCCTTCAAAAATTCTGAGATAAACGACGTTGTACCGAATTTGCAATTGATAATTACTTGCATCGATTAAATTGAATTTCAATTTGAGAATAGATGTTAATAGAAATTTCACGAAACCTTTGCAATACTCGTTCGACAATACCGTGCCGTTTATCGGTATCTGTCAATTAAAAACGTTCGCGCGGCCGGTCGCATCTGACAGCGCGAACTTTATGTCCTATGATTGGGTATTTTCAAAGGCTCGCACATCGTTTAAAAACTATTATAACATTTTGTTATTGACATTTTTGACTCACTTTTTTATGAGAAATATGTATATGCTGACTCTTGCGGGAAAAAGTGCATGCATGTGCAGAGGATTCTTACAAATTCTAACAGTATTATTTGCAGTTGAGGCAAACCGTGTGTTATTTACATGTTCATTTTTGTGCTTTATGCCTTGTGCGAGCGTGCTGTTATAATATAAAGGAACCATATAATTACACTTGCGTAATGAAGCGTGCATAATTGTAAATGTACGATAACAAAACATTATAGTAGAAAAGATACTTATTACATTAATTGTGTCTCTGCAATACTATACACACACACACACACACACACACACACACACACACACACACACGTGCGCGCGCGCGTATATTTACATTTCCTTTAAAATATCTATATATAGT